ACCTGAGGGCTGGAACTGCTGGGTATGGTCCATGGTCCAGGAGACTCTGACAGCACATTCTTGTGCTCCCAGCTCTCCAAACCAGAAGTGAACAGAAAAGGGGAGGCAGGAGGTAAAGGATAAACAGGGAGCCCCCTAGGAGATAAGCGTGCAATGAAGGTATCGAAGCCCCTAAACTTGTATGAAATATCTGGGTATAGCTGGAGTCTGGGTGGGGATAGTTCGCCTCAAAGAGAATTTGTATGTCCCCCAGAGAACAAAAGTAGAGAGAAGGGAAATGCTGACCTTCGAATCCAGGAGCAGGTTGCTAATAAACTGAATGTCTACATCCTCATTAAAGTATATGTGGTGATCCCTAACACCCAACACAATGGATTAAGAGAGGAGCCCTATGAGCGAGAACAGAACCTGACAGGAAAAGGGATGACAAACTGTGCTTCTCTCTACTGTGAAGGACACAAGGAAACCACCTACAAAGCAGAAATTGTCCTTCATCTTAGACATCTAAAACCAACAAAAGTGAACACAATTGTTCAAGCCCTTCAGTCCTTGTTATCTGTAATAGTGGTCTACACTGACTATAGAACACATATAGAGGCCCCATGAGAACAAAGTCTAAGTGGGTTTGTCAGTGCAGGTCTGAGTCAAAGAATCAGGTCTGTACTGTGTTCACAGCTTCCCAGTTGTACTGTGTGCTCCTTCCGAAACATTTACTTTTTAATTGTTTACTTTGTGTGATGGACATTTTGTCTGCATATGTATGTGTTCCATGTGAATGCCTGGTATCTAAGGCAGCAAGCAGAGGGCATTGAATTTTCTGGAACTAGAGTTACAGATGGTTATGAGCTACCATATGGGAAATGGGAATCAAGCCTGAGTCCTCTGGAAGAGCCGCCAGTGCTCTTAACCACTGGGCCAACTATCCAGCCCTCTTAACCACTGGGCCAACTATCCAGCCCTATCTGCTCCTTTCTAAAAAGGACAGGATGGTTTTTTTGTTTTTTTGTTTTTTTCCTAGTGAAGAAGTAAGGGCCTTTTTGTCCATATGCACTTGCATCTCAGGTTTTGTTTCCCCCCAACACCTTGTTAAGGACATAATAAAGGCAAAAAGGAAAACCTTTTATTTCTCACATCTCAAAGTCCTCACTCATCTGTCTTCCTACCTTCCAGAATCCTCTGTTTCCTGAAGATTTCAACTGCCCTTGGTAGAAGGGACAGAGAACACTATATCTACTCCTTCTTGTTTGATACCAGAAATCCCTGTATTTTTTATACAGGGAAATCCTTGCATATTTTATACTCTTAAGAAGCACATGGCCAGGCGTTGGTGGCTCACGCCTTTAATCCCAGAACTCAGGAGGCAGAGGCAGGCAGACCTCTTGTGAGTTCGAGGCCAGCCTGGTCTCCAGAGCAAGTGCCAGGATAGGCTCCAAAGCTACACAGAGAAACCCTGTCTCAAAAACCAAAAAAGAAGAAGAAGAAGAAGAAGAAGAAGAAGAAGAAGAAGAAGAAGAAGAAGAAGAAGAAGAAGAAGAAGAAGAAGAAGAACACGAACCCAATAAAGCAAAATATGCAGACTTCTTTCATCTGGATGGCAGAGATATGCTGTATTCAGCAGACACATTTGGTGTGTTTGCTATGTCCCTACAGGAGCTAAGCCGTTGGCTGCTGTTGGAGGTGGCCATGTTGGGACAAAAGACAACTAGGCTGAGTCAGTGGGTTGCTGGTTCCATCATGACTATCAACCCCCCAAGGGAGAGGGATGGTGAGGCTAAACCAGAGTTGCCTCCCAAGAGCAGGATGCATGGGATCCGATCCAGAAAAAGCAGGGAGTTTTGCCTGGGGACTCCAGTGGCTTGGTCCATCTTCTCTGCTCTCCCTTGATCTGGGATACTATGGGCCAGTTAAAAGAGTCATCGTGCTTCAGTTTCCCCTTCTGGAGTAAAATAACAGCACCCACCGCAAAGATACCGGGGAAGTAACAGTTCATCCTGGCACACATCAAATAGTGAACAATGGTTGTATCTTTGGCCCATTAGCAAAGACGTCAGATGGAGCAGAATCCCTGTATCTACCTAGTTGAGTTGCCCGCCCGGGCATGGCTGCACAGAGGCTTTGGCAAGGAACGTGCTCCTTACCTATAGTCCTGCGGAGGTCTTCACACTGGCTGATGTGAGGAAACTTCAGGATTTCCTTCCACTTCTTGCTTTTCCCTTTGCGCTTTCCTCCACCCCCTGCAGAGATGGAAAGATGCCACGATGTTGGTGCTGCCAAAGCTCCAGAGCCTGCAACCCACACCCATGAGCCTTCCACCAGCTTCTGGGCTTAAT